AGTAACTTGCCCCAGATCACAGAGCTAGGGTGTGATCTTCTGAGCTGAGAGCCAGTCTACACGCAGCCAGCAGGACCAGTGATGAATGGATGAAGGATTAATGCAGTCCCTTAGTCTCCCCACCCCCCCCTTACCAGGCTTGAGCATAAGCGGTGTTTGTACTAAAACACTCGGGGAGCACTGACCATGGGCCTTACTGGCCCTCTCCCAGCAGGGGCTGGAGCTGAATGAAGAGGGGGGCTCTCCCACCCTCCTTCATATCTATCCCATTACCCCACAATGTCAGCTCTGGTCTCAGGGGATTAGCCTGGAGAGAATCCTTCCAGTTTGAAATTTACTGCATATTTATTGAGTCTCACCTGTACATCAGACCCTCAGCTGGGGGGGGGGGGGCGGTGGGGGGCAGGATTCCAAGCGGTAGAGTTGAACAGGATCTCCCTTCCTTAGAGCAGCAGTTGGATGTGAGAGAGAACAAATCATAAAGGATTACTTAGTCCTCGAGGTGTCAAGAGCTTTCCAAGGGGTGTGAGCTGAGGGATATGGGAGCACAGAGGAGGGAGGGACCATCTTTGAATGCCTGACTACCCAGAGAGGAGTCTTTTGAATTGGGCCTTGAAGGATGTTTATGAGTCTGCTTTTTGCAGACTTGAACATTCTTCTGGGGAACTTGGTATGGCAGGAACAGATCTCTTTGGGGCAGCAGCTGGAGATGGAGGCAAGACCAGGCCACACAAGTCTAGGTAAATATGCTGAGGAGCTGGACAGAGGCTTCTAAGCTGGTGACATGATCAGTTTGCACTTGAGAATGGTCTGTAAGTCTGTGGATTAAAGAGAGACAGGCTGGAGGAAAGACAATTGGTCTGAACTGGTACAGTGGTGGGCTGGGGAGGATGTTTGAGATTCAACAGCCTCTTTGGAGTTACTTTCTGAGCCATGATGACAGATTTCTTGGCAGGGTGAGGACAGGGAAGAAGGAGTTACAGAAAGGGGCATGTGGGTACCCAGGGTGCAAGGAAGGACTCAGGAAATGGCATCTGTTCTCAGTTCCCAGCATCACCTTTTGTCTGCTTGCTTTCTGAGGGAACCTGTCCTCTGGTTTCTGCATTAGTTATCTTTAGCTGTGTAACAAATTACCCCAAAGCTTAGCAGTTTAAAATTAACACAAAATTATGACCTCACAAGTTTCTCGGAGTCAGGGATTCATGAGTGACCTAGCTGGGTGGTTTGGACCCTGGGTGTCGCATAAAGTTGCAGTCAAGACGTCAGCTGGGGTGCAGACACCTGAGGGCCTGACTGGGGCTGGGGAATTCACTTCTACGGGACGCTGTCATATGCCAGCCAAGTTGGCCCCGGCTGGTGGCAGGAGGCCTTCGCTGTCCACCACATGGCCCTCTCCATGTGGCTGCTTGAGTGTCCTCATGACATAACTGGCTTCCTCCAGAGTGAGTGATCCAGGAGACCACGGCTGAAGCCACAGTGACAACCTCTGATGACAACCTCAGAAGTCACAAATCATCATTTCTCCAATATCCGAGTGGGTACACAAACCAGCCCTATTCATCATGGGAGCGGACTACAGATGGGTGTGCATACCAGGAGGCGAGAAACACCGGGGCCACCCTGGAGGCTGGCTGCCATAGTTTCCCTTTCTGTAACACATGTGCAGAATGGCAGGGCCAAGTTTCAAACTGTAGCAGGAGGATGCACATTGGAGCAGGAAATGCTGCCCTTGGGAGAAGCCCTGAGAAAGGTGACTAAGATGTAAAGATACCTTCCCTAGAGGGGCCCAGGGCAAGAGAGTCTCCTGGGGGACTGAGGGCAGGTGCTTCTTCTTCTTCTTTTTTAATATATATACTTATTATTTTCAGAGAGGGAGAGATAACATTGATTGGCTGCCTCCTGCATGCCCCACACTGGGGATTGAGCCTGCAACCCAGGCATGTGCCCTGACTGGGAATCAAACCGTGACCTTCTGATTCATAGGTCAACGCTCAATCACTGAGCCACGCCAGCCAGGCCTGAAGGTGTAAAACTCTGTCCTCCAGGGCTTGGCCACACCTGCCACTTGAGTTCAGTTTGCTGAGCTTCTGTCTTCTGGGCGGGGGCCAGGGGGAGGTCTTTCCTCACTCCTCACTTTCCAGGACAAGTTCTGCATTCCAGCACACAGGGAGCATTCAGCCCATTGCACTGCAATTGCCCAATGATTTCTCCATCTGCCCTCCATTCAAGGGCGCTTGTTGAGTGTCTGCCCACTGTGTGACAAGCAGGGCTCCCTGTATGGTCACGTAGGCCATTAGTGCCAAAGGCTCCAAAGAGAGCTCTTGGAATCAGCCCATGCTCACCAAGCCATGGACCCAGGTACAAGGCTGGGCCCCAATGGAGAATAAACACCTTCTTGCTGTTCCCACAAGGACACTGTACTTAGCTGTGTATCCATACAGCTGGTCAACCCAGAGGGGGGACTTTTTCTCATTTGCACAAAGATGCTGTGTGGTGCTGTGGGCCTAGAGCAAACACTGTTCTAGGTAGTGGGATATGGTGTGAGTGAGACAGGCATACTCCTGCCCTCACAAGTCTAGTGTGGGGAGATCCACTATACATACATGAAACGGACATTACCCAAATGACTTCAGATTGTGAGCCATGCCAAGAAACAAATGATCAGGGTGCTGCTGATAAAGAATAATGGGGAAGCCTACTGTAATTTGGGTGGTCTGGGAAAGCCTCTTTGAGAAGATGGCTTTCAGGGGCTTCCAGAATAAAAGAAGGATTTGGCTTGGTGAACAATGGAGAGCTGGACTGAGGGAGAGCATTCAGGCAGCTAGAACAGCAAGTGTGAAGGCACTGAGGTAGGCAAGAGCTTAGTGCACTGGAACTGTCAGAAGGACACTGGAGGGAGACGGAGGCCTGGCTTCCCTTGTGTGTGGCTAAACTGGGGTTGGGAGGCCCAGAGTGGACACTTAGGGATGCCTCTTGGTTGAATATAAGATGTTCGGGGGAGGGTTGTGGCTCAGGAAAAAAGTGTGGTGGTGGGCATGATTCAGTGGGGGTGCACATAAACTCAGGGAGCTCTTCAGTCAGGTCCAACTCAGCCAACATCTAAGCCTCTACTGAGTGCCAGGCTCTGTGTAGTGTGCACGTGCATTAGAGAGAGACCCTTCCCTTGAAGGCCCACACCCTAGGAAGCAAGGTAGTGGCGGGAGGTGTGTCCTCTCTGATAATACCTAGTAGAAGGTGGGGGATAGTGAGCGAGGCCTCCAGAGGAGGGCCCAGGACTTATTCTGGAAGGCCTGGGGTTTGATTAGAGGAGGATGGGGAAAGGTCCCTCTGGCTGGAGGCAGTGCTGGGTGGGGGACTAGCCTGGCTGGGAGAGCCAAGTCGAAGCTCAGGCCACAAGGCCTGAGGCTGTCAATTCCACATTCCAGGGCCAGAAAAGAAGGCATAGGGGATGGGACCGCTGCTGTCAAAATGGAAACACCTTCTGGAGGGGTGCTGCCACCTGGGCCAGTGGGGGTGGTGGGCGGGGGGGAGAGAAGCTGAAAAGCTGGCCAGATGGGCATGACTTGACTTGGGTGGCCAGGGCGGCTATGTCCTGACGTGGCCGGGGCGGAGGCGTCTCTGAGCTGGGCTGGCTGGTGGGGTCAGGAAAGCCTTGCTCAGCACTGGCTGAGTCATATGCCTGAGCTGGGGCCAGGACTAGGCTCTGGGAGAACATGGTCCCAGGGTAGGGCCCCGGGCCAAGGCCACATCCCAGTCTCCATCCACTGTGCCTCCCAGCTCTTCCCCAAACCCCACACTCACAGACAAATCAGAAGCCTTAGTTTGGGGAGCCCCAGAACCTCTTTGGGAAGCTCTGGGCCTTCATCTGTGCCTCCGTGTCTCCTTCTGCGTACTGTTGAGAATCAGGTTGGGGCGGCCTGGACAGCTGGCTGTAGCCAGGGGCTGTGGCTGTCCAGGATTTGGAGTCAGGGCAGCTCTCCAGCCTCCCCCTTTCCAGTGTCCCCAACCCACCTGCCTCAGCAGGTACTGGGCAGCCAAGAAGGCCAAGTCAGTACAGAAGCTCAGCTCAGGACTCCGCACCCAATCTGTGGGACCTGGTGGGAGGGGCCCACCAAGCCCTTGGGTGGAGGGCCTTGGGGGTGGAGCAGGCAGGGCTGGGACATTCCAGGCTGAGGGAACCCCTTAGGAAATTTGATTCCAGCTTCTGGTGGTAGGAAGGGGGAGCAAATTCTGTGTGTGTGTGTGTGTTTCAAGTCATGCTGTGTGAGCATCTGTCCACATGTCTGTCCGACTGCTGCACTCTGAGGGTCTGCTATGAAATTGCGTGTGTGTTGGTCACCCCCCCCCCCCCCCGCCGCCCCCCGCCACCCCAGTCAGAGGTTTCTCCTGGGTACTGGGTGTGCATGTGTGAGGCTATATGTATGTATGTGTATGGCTATGTGTGCCTGTATGGCTGAGTGCGTGGGTTGCATGGGTGTATGTGGTTATGAGTGAGTGTGTATGGCTGTGAATGTGTGTGTATATGTGCACGGGCCCTCTTCCGCACCATGAATTGGGTCTGTGTGACTCTCTGGGGGTGAGTGAGTGTGAGGGTGGTTCCGGGTGCCGGCTGCCTGCTGGGTGTGTGTAAGGGGAGAAGGCCCCTCTTACTCCTTGGCGCGGGTCCGCCTGGGTCCTGGCCACCTCTGGACCTAGCCAGGATCCAGCAGGGATTAGGTCCCCTCCCCTCCCCCTGCTCCTCCGATCTTCCCACGCCCGCCGGAGGGGCCCTGGCCCTGGGGTAGGCTCTGCCCAGCCCTCGGTCCGCAGTCACGGCGTTCCCGCCCCGCAGGCCCTGGGGGAGCTGCGGCCGCCGCCCCCGCCGCCCCCTCCTCCCTGAGCCCCTCCTCCCCTCCTTCCCTTCCGAGCGCGATTGCAGGCGGGGTGGGAGGAGATTGCGCCGGAGTTTCCATTTCATACCTCGCGGCTAAACTTTCTTTCTGTGTCTCGCTCTCTTGCAGTCTGCAGCTTCTCCTGTCATCGGAAATGCCAGGCCAAGGTAAGGGGCCGCGGGCCCTCACGGGGGCTCAGCGACTGACGGGCTCGGGTCCCTGGACTGGAGAGGGGGCTCCGGTGGGGCGGGCGGTGCTGGGGTCGTCCCTTCCTCCTCTCTTTGTTTATGCAAAGCTTAGGGCAGGAGCCGGCTCAGGTCAAGGTGAAGGCGACGGCCTGGGGGAGGGGGCGGGGGGGGGGGAGGGGGGAGCGAGTTGAATCTGGGTGGAGGGTGCGGCTCCCATTCTCTCGCTCCTGGAGGTTGCTGGTGGAGACTGAGCTCCGAGAGAGGGGCCTTTGTAGGTATTTCTCCTAGTTCTCTGGGAGGGTGGGGGCGTCGAGGGGGAGGGGATGCATTTCAGTTCTGCGTGTGGCGCAGAGCCCTGGTTGGTCTGATTTGGGCAGCTTAGAAAAACTCGGGAGGGGTCGCAATCACCAGACCTGGAGTGCAAAAGGCAGAGGTAGGGGAAGTGAGGATGAGGTGGGAAAGGGGTGGAGGTCAAGGTCGCAGTGGTCCTGGAACCTCCTGAAGGACCATCCTACTCTCTTTATGACCAGGTCCCACTTTGGTCCTCAGTTCCCCCATCAGTGTTTCCTGGCTGATCTTGGTGGGAGAGGAAAACTAAGACAAGAAGACCAGAGGAATTGGTGGCCTGGGTGGCCGGGCTGGCTGGACCCCTGCTGCAACCTCTCAGGCCAGGACAGAGGGGTGATGGAGCAGCTGGTGGTGGCTTCTTGGAGTAATTTCCTTCCCAAATAATCCATCCCAACCCATCAGCTCTCTGGAGGTGGAGATGTTTGGCCTTACCCTTTCAGACGCAGTCAATCTTTGCACTCTCCCTATTATTGCTTTTCTCTCCCTTCTTATTAGCTGGGTGACTTTGGCTGAGTCATGTAACCTCTCTGAGCCTCTGTTTCATCCTCAAGGATGCAGGAATAAGAAAAAGCTATTATGAGGATGAGACGGGATAATGTGTGTGAAGTGTCCAGCACAGTGCCTGACACAGGGTAGGCCCTCAGAAGCATAGCAGTGGATTAGTATCAATTGGTAGCTCAAGTGTTACCATGGAGAAGGGTGCTGATGGAGCAGGGAGTCTGAGAGGGAACCCACTTCCTCCTGCGGGACCTTGCTCAAGCAAAGCACACAGCCTTGCTGGGGCATCTCCCACCTGTACACTCCAGGTTGGAGTGTTCTCCTAGCAGAGGTGCAGAGGGCCTGGCTCTCAGGGGGCACATCTGTACAGTGTCTGCCCCTTCCTTGTCTTCCGCCTTTCTGCCTCCCTCAGCTTTTGCTTCCTACGGTGGGGATTGAGTTACTGCCTCTCCCTCCATACCCCTCCTTGTTCTCTTTATCCAGAGCTGAGATTTTCCACCCTTCATCCCAGAACCTTCTGATTTCTCCCAGTCGACCTCCTCCCTGCGGCCCTTCCTGCACTTGTTTCTCTTCATTATTATTATTTGTTATTTTTTACTAAGAGAGGAAGGGGGAGGGATAGAGAGATGGAAATATCGATTAGAGAGAGACATTGATTGGCTACCTCCCTCACACCCCCTACTGGGGATTGAGCCCGTAACCTGGGCATGTGCTCTGACTGGGGATCGAACCGGAGATGTCCTAGTTCATGGGTCGATGCTCAACCACTGAGCCACACCAGCTGGGCAACACTTGTTTCTCTAACTAACATCTTGTACAGTGCCTTGACCTTAGAAAGCACTTCAATGCATTATCGGATTTCATTATTTTAATTCCATCAGAGCATAAAACAGGCCAAAAGATCCATAGGAAACCGAGGCACCCAAAGGTTGAATGACTTTCCCAAGGCATCGGAGTGTAATTCCTCAGTCATATCTGTCCCGGGGCCTTGCACTTTCTTCTAATTACCCCTTCTTGCCTACCAGCAGACATTTCTTTTTGATCCTCACCTGCCTTCCCTCTTAGCTTCCCATCTCTTGCAGCAGTGGATACAGTTAGAGAGGATAAGGGGATGATTGTACTGCCAGTGAAGGGTCTGAATAGGGCCAATGGGGGGCTCAGAGACCCGGAGAGGCGTGACAGAGTTAGCCTCCTGTTGCACAGTCACCTCCTGTTGGAGACAGAGGGGTGCTAAAGGTGACTTCTGGGTGGGGGTGTGGCCTGCCTAGCAATTCTGACACATGCTGGGGGCTCAGGATACACCAGGCTCAGCAACACTGCTCTGCCCAGCCAGGGCCAACCAGAGGAGCGAGGTGGACTGGCAGGGCAGTGGCTGGACAGACAGATGGGGTTTGTTATAGGATTTTCCTCTGCAGCAAAGGGGACCCACTGGTGCTGTGAGCCCCACCCAGCTGGCAAGTCTCCCCATAAACCACAGCGCTTACTACTGGCCTGCCTTTTCCTCTTGCGGAGAAGGGTGATGTGAGCCTCAGAGCACACAGCAGAGCTCTGTCCTCTGGGTTTTACAACCATTTGGGGGTCCTCTCATCCATTCCTCTACCCAAGACGGGACTCGGTAAGCAAATGTGTACGGAGCTCTTTTTGTGCACCAGACACTGCAGTAGGTGAACAAGACAGATAAGGCCTTTGCACTTGTGGGACTGTCATTCTAGGCAGTAAATAGGCAAACAGATCCCATAAGGAGATGAGTTAGAGCAGTGGGTTAGAGAGGGCTTAGGCTTAGGTGGCCCAGGAAAACTTCTCAGAGGAAGTATTGTGCAAGATGGGACCCAATTGATGTTACAGGATGATCCTAGAGATGAAAAGAGCAAGTGCAAAGGCCTGAGGTGCGATGAGCTTGTCAGGCTTGAAAGATGTGATGGAGATTAGTGAGCCCTGGAGGGGTTTGAGCGTGAGCGACATGATCTGAAGATCTCCACTTTAAGGAGGCCACTCTGGCCTTGAGCAGTCACTGGGAGATGGGCCAAGAGGCCACTGATGTTGCCCAGTGAGAGAAGCTGGTGGCTTAGTCGTGGTGCTCATAGGAAAGACTGTGAGAAGGGACAGGTCTGGGGTGCATTCTGGGGTAGAGCCCAGAGCCTGGCTGATGGATAGGATGTTGGGTGTGAGAAAGAGAATGGGCTCAAGGATCTCTCTCAGGTTTTTGGCCAGAATAACTGGGTGCACGTGGTTCCATTTACTGTACTATGATAGATGAAGTGTGCGAGAAATTTCTAGGAAGAAGGCGCCAGGATTTCTGCTTTGCTTGGTCTCTTATTTCACAGTTCTTCTCCAGCACACTGGGGATTTGTTGCTGAGGTTGGTCCTCCCTTGTCCTCTCAAGTTCAGCCTGCTCTGGCCACCACTCCAGTAAATGGCTTGTTCTGGATGCCTTCATATGCCACCTTGTAGGCCGGGGGCGGGGAACCTTTCGGATATTTATAACATCATTCTTGGACGAAGGGCCATTTGGATATTTATAACATCATTCTTGGACCATACAGAATTATCAACTTAAAAATTAGCCTGCTATATTTGGTCAAGCATTTAATTAACTCACCCCTAATGCCTTGGCAGGGCCAGACCAAATGATTTTGTGGGCCTTATATAGCCCCCGGGCCGGACGCTCCCCACCCATTTTAGACTATTCCTACAGCATGAACCCATGCCTCAGAGAGGGGCTGAATTAATTATATGTAGCAATACAATGTAACAGAGTATCCCCAAATTAGTAACCTAAAGCAGCAACTAATGTTTATTATCTCATACAGTTTCTGTGGGGCAGAAATTGGAAGCAGCTTAGCTGGAGGTTTTGGCCTGGAGTCTCATGCAGTAGCAGTCAAGATGCCAGCTGGCCTGTAGTCATTTGAAGGCCTGACAGGGGCTGGAGAATCCACTTTCAAGGTGATTTATTCATGTGGCTAGTGAGTCGGGGCTGGCTCTTGGCAGGAGGTCTCAGTTACTTGCCACACAGACCTCTCCACAGGCCTGCTTGAGCGTCTTCACAACATGGCGCTGGCTTCTTTGGAGTGAGTGATTCAAGAAAGAGCAAGGTGGAAGCCAGATATCTTATTTCCTAGCCTTGGAAAAAAACACTGTAATTTCTACAATATCTGATTGGTTATACAGGCCATGCCCATTGACGTGTTTATATAAGGACATAAATACCTGGAAGCAAGAGTCCATGGTGCCATCTTAGAAGCTGTCAGCTACAGATGCCCAGAGAGAGGGCTGACCTGGCTCCTGGGAGACCATGGGAGTGGGGTGGGGATCAGACATACCTGGGGTTTGAACTCTACCTCCTGCTGCCTTCCAGTTATGTGAGCTAGGTTGTAGAGGATTAAATGCACATCTGCACATAGTAGGTACCATTCTCCTTTTTTTGGAACCACAGGTGAAGACTAGGAAGGAGGCTGGATAGTCTGTGCCCAGTTTCTCGCCACTTGGACCTGCTTGAGAGAAAATGCTCAGTGGTGGTAGAGGAGGGCCTCAGTGCTCAGCTCAGAGTGGGTGTTAAATACGTGTTCATTGCACCAATAAGGGTAGAAGATATGTTGCATCCTCAGTTTCTAGAATAGTGCCTGGTCCATAGTAGGGGTTCCAGTGAAGGAGTAAAAGAGGGTAGAATAAAGGAATGTTGAGAAATGAGAGGTTCCACTTAGGGAGAGGGTGGGGAGAGGGACAGATGAGAACAGGAAAGAAAAGGAACAGCAAAACCACTTTTTAATTCCCTTCCACAAAGCCCTCCCATCTCCTCACACAGAGATGCTCCAAACAGTAATTCTAGTCATTTACCTTTTCTAGTTGGGCTATAACTCACATACTGTCAAGTACACGAATTCATCAGTTGGTACATATACATGAACCAGATCAGGATCTAGAACATTCCCAGCATCCCAGAAGCAGCCCATATGCTCCCCTCCAAGTCAATATCCCCCCCAAAGGTAATTGTTGGTTTTACTTGTAACATCCGAGATTAGTTTTGCCTCTTTTTAAATTTCATATAAATTGAATCATACAGTATGTTTACTCTTGTGTCTGGCTTATTTCAGTCAACATTATGTCTGGGAGGCTCATCTGTGTTCTTGTGGTTC